CTTGGAAATTGCAGAACTTATCTGGAGGGCTCTGGGACTGAGTCTGCAACTCAGATTAGAGCTGTGTTTCCATATCCTTTCTTATGCAGATGGCCTTCTGGACAGATTAGTGAAGGTGCTGTGTCTTCTTTTTGGATGCCTCCTGTATGTCCAGGGAAACTCTGCAGAAAGGAAGCAAACTAGGAGAAATTTAGGATTGACATTAGAACAAGAATCCTATTCTCTCAGTCAAAAGCAGAAAAGTGAAAAGAAAAAGCTTTTGCCAGGTAATTTTCATCTTAACTATTCATGCAATTATCCTGATTTTTGAGCATGCTTTATTCTCACAAGACTTGCTTTCTGTCTTTCAATTTTAGCCGAGTTCTGGAAGCAACATGAAATTTCTGCATGAAGGATTGAGGACTCTTTGTGTCTCTCAAGGCAGGTGAGTTTAGAAGCTAGAGGTGATCTGCCTTGCAGGATGTCTAGAATTCTGTGGAAGTAGAAATTCCCAGTTACCCTATGGGAGCCCATAACCTAAAAAATAGAAGCATATGGTATATTCCCCAAACACGAGTCACACCTCCTGTGTGATAGCAAAAAGGGAACTAAAGAGCTTTCCTAGGCAGGGCAGGCTGCATAATCTGCAGGGCTTAGTGCAAAAAGAAAAAGAAAATAATGGGGACTCTTGGTCAAAAAGCAGGAGAAAAAGGACTGTCAAAGGTATACATAAAGTCAGACACAGAAGGACGAATAGCATGTGATTCCACTTCTGTGAAGTACCAAATGTAGTTAGAGTCGTAGAAAGAGAAAGAATGGTGGTTGCCAGGGGCTGGAGGGCGTGGGGACAGGGAGTTTTTAATGGGTATAATTTCAGTTTTGGAAGATGAGAAGGTTTTGCAGATGGTGCTGATGTTTACACAACAGAGTGAATGTACTTAATGAACTGCACACTCAAAAATGGTTAAAATGGTAAATTCTTTATTATGTATATTTTAGCCTCCACCTCTCGCCCACATACGCATAAGAAATACATAAATTTTTTCCTTCTTTCACAGACTCTCTTATGACTTGTCATGGTGTTTTTTATTTGCTATTTAATGTCATCCTAAGTAAGGAAAAATTAAAGACTTAAATTTTTAGCATCAATTTTACTCTTCATTTTTATTCTATGCAATACCAATTTTAAATGAAAATGTCTAAAAGTATTTAACTTGTATTTGGAATCACTGAAATTATACAACTTGAATTTTGTGTAATTCCAGGAGGTTACCTTGAGTTGGCTAAAAGAGAAAAACAAGAGCCAAGGTCTGGAAAAGTGGAAGGAGGAGGTGAGGATACCCCTGGCACAGACCTGGAGAAAGAGCCCTCCAGGGTATAGGACCTCATGGGTGCCTGAGGGGGTGGTCTCTTTGACTTAATAGCTGCCAGCTTCCCCTTCCCACAGGCCTGCCACCCCAGCCCACAGTACACAGGCTACTGCCAAGCATCGTTAGAACTCAGAGCTGGGATGAGCTCAATAGGTGGGGTTGGCTGCCACCATGCCCCCAACACCCACCTTCCTGCACTGGCACCAGACCCCTGCCAGGCAGGGGCGTGGCAGTGAGAACCCATCCATGGCGGCCGTAGGGAATGTGACTGTGTAAGGTCAGGCTCCAAGAACCCCCCAATCCCCCCCACCCTGACCACCGCCATGCCTGCCTGCTCCATTGTTGGTTCCAGGAGACTTCCCTTGACACAAAATCAAAGATAAAATGATTAAGAATTTTAAGACTGCAACCACAGTGCATTCAGCCCCAAGTGCAGGGCCCTCAACTGTACTAGTCACACACCCTGTTCCTCAGGCCAAAGAAAAGAGTGTGTTTGGCTGGAGTATTCTTTGAAAGACCCCCTCATCCCTGAAGGAAACCTAGTTAAGTGCAGAAGTGCTGACAGTGGAGGGGCTGAGGCAGCCTTGCCTCGAGTCCCTCCTGCTCCCTTTCCTTTCTGACAACAGACTCCAGCTCCACCCCTTTCCTTTCAGCCTCCCACTCCCCACCCACTGTTGGTCGACTGGTCTACCACTTGTCCGCCAGGAAACACCGGGATGTAAATTCCTCGGGATGAGACATGGAGTCTAGCCCATGTCAGCTCTGAGTGCAGTTTCCCAAGTTCCCTAGTCCCAGGGCTGCCATACAGGAGCGCAGGATGTGAAACTGTCCATTAGTTTGCCCCGGATGACCTGGGGGTGAAGTGCCGGGGCACAGGGAGAAGTGTGGCCCTCTGGGTAGCTGCCACCTGTAGAGGATTAAGGAAGCCGAATCTTTCTATTTTCTAAATTGGAGTGCAGACTATAGCCAATGTACTTTCTCTTTGTAGTGGCTTCAAGTTGTGTCTGGGATAGAGTCAGGGGTGTTTTTCTTGGACTGAAAGGCTTGCCTTGAGCATCGTCCGGATCATATTGCAGAGTTATGCTCCAACTAGCTACATCTGCTAAGATGTACCCGGGGGGAGTTCCCCGGCGGTCCAGCGGGTAGGACTTGGCGCTTTCAATGCCATGGCCCTGGGTTCGATACCCGGTCGGATAACTGAGATTCTGCAAGACTCGTGGAGCAGCTGGGGAAGAAAAAAAAAAGATGTACTCTAGTTTCATCAAGTATCTTGGGGAGACTCTTCAACTTTAGCAGGCTGAGAAGAAACCCCACACCAGCTTTACTTGCAACTCTCAGCACATCAGCATGAGTCTTCCCTTGGGGGAATACACTTATCTATGCTCCTGAGGTCCCTTCCCAGGAAGTCAGGGGACAAACCAGCAGCACTCCCTGCCCTATTCTCTGGTGCTATTAGGAAGGCATTTTCTTTTCAGCCGAGGGACAATCAGGCCCACCAGCAGCATCCAATTCAGTTCTGTTCAATCCAGGCAGAGGAGCTGGGGTGAGGAATGAACACCCTCAATTCTAAACAGAGGTAGGTGAAAGGCAAAGCCTAGGGAGGCTTGGGTACTGGTTCACAGTAGACCCAGCTGGGCTCAGAGCAGCTCCAGGTTGGCAGCCAGTCCCCGGAGGAGGGAGGAGGAGTGGAAAGCGGGAGCACAGTTCAAGATCCTGTTCTTCATCTATCCCACCCCTAACCCCGCCCCTGCCCCATGCTGACCCCTCTCTGAGCCTCAGCTGGGAGTTGTGTATTTAAATGTGGAGACTGAGACTGTGGGTGACTAAGACCTTTCTAACATACATCTTTGAAGAGCTTTGAAGGGAAGCAGCCAATCCCCCCTGCCCAACCCTGCCGGTTTCCCATTTCAAATGACTAAGTCATGACCCTTCTTAGCAAGACTTCAAAGAACCTGATCAAAGATAACATTTATATTAAATAAAACAGCACATTTTTTCCTTTTTACTGTAAAGCTTGAAATGAAAAACAGCCCTGTTTCAGCTCTCTGGCCAACAAAGCATGGTGAAAACAGCAGAGAAGTGATCCTTACAGGACAACCCTCACACACCCTCCCCCTACCTTTTTTGGAACTTGGTGGCCCCTACACTGAATCTCTAACGTTAAAGATGCTTTTTTCAGGTGCTCATCAGGTCACTGGACAATCAATCATAAATCCCCACCAAAGCTTGGGACTTCCCTGAAGGTCCAGTGGTTAGGGCTCTGCACTTCTACTGCAGGGGGCTGGGTTCGATCCCTGTTTAGGGAACCAGGATTTGGCATGCCACCAGAAATTTAAAAAAAAAGAAATCACCAAAGCTCATATACATAATCTCTGCCACAAGTTACCATCTGAGAAGGCAGTTTTGGTGTGGTGAAAAAAAACACCCTGATGTGGGAGTCAGTCTGGCTTCTCAAGTCTTTGCCTTGCCTCACCACAGTCCTGGGCCGACACAACTTTTTTGAACCTTCAGCTTTCTCATGTACAAACAGAGGTATTAAATCTCATATATCTCACAAAATCCTGTTATGAGCAGATGAATATGTATGGAAAAGTACTTATTGTGCTTGATACATAATAATACATAATATATACTCTCTCTATATATATTTTGTATTTTAACCTATTAGTGTTTTCTACAACTCTTTCTCCCCACCCCATACCAATTTAATGAAACAAATATAAAGGTAACATTTTAAAAATTGCTGTATTCAAAATTAATAATAAACTTTAGGGTAAATAAGCTTTAAAATAAAAGTACATAAGCAAAAATAAATAATTTACACCAACCCACTAACCTAATTTTCAGAGTAAAGCCATTTCCAATTACAGCACTATTATCCCGGGCTCCAGCCTGTGGTCAAGCTTTGATAATTCATTATTTTTAAGAAACAGTAACAAAAAACTGAACACTCAGGAAATCATCTTTAACAAAACCGAAGTACTGGATTTAACTTTTTAATTTTAAATAACCAAACTTTGTAATTTTATACATAATCCAATGTAATGCTAATATAATTAGCACTTCAGCTTGCAGAGCTGGTATTTAACAGGGGTGGAAAACTGTAATGAATAGTCTTCAAACCGTGAGATATTTAATACAAATAAAAATAGACAAGTATACAGTAGAACAAAAACTGCAGACACTCTACTAGCTGAGGGAAATATCTGAAGGCTTTACATCCTTTATTATCCATGATGGCTTTTGGAATTATGATTGTTTGACGTATAGAACCTTTGACATTTTCAACACAGCCTTTATTTATTTTTTTTTCACAGTAAGTTAAAAATCCATCATAAGACTCCATAAGACTTCACTGGTCTTGCACGCAGACTCTAGGAGTTTGCAATCTGATAAAAGAGTAACATAAAAAATTACTGTATTGCCCTAATTTCATACTTCCTTGTACACAATACATCAGTTTGGGAAATCTATTCCAAGGGTTATATACACAAAAGTGTCAAGAATAAAATGTTCTCCACTCTTGCATAAAAATGTGTACAGTGTTTCAGGAATGGAAAATTTCTAATTTTCCTGGGCCCGGGCTTCATGGATCTCTGCTGCCTGAAGATGAAAGGCTTCTCTGGCTTTATTGCTCCATTGTTCTGAGGATTAATCATCTAACCCTGGCGTTTCTCCTTGCTGGATCCTGGATGCTATTCTGATGGCTTCTTCCAGAGATGGCTGTTCTCCAAGCTGAAACAGGAACATACACATAGCCACAGTCAAGATAATGCCAAAGAAATATAATATGCCAGAAGTAAAATTTCTTTCTGTAATTATAATATCTGGGCTTGTTAAAGTACTAATGCTCACCCACAAAACACAAAAATTCCTGCTGGGGAGAATAATGTAGTTTCTTTATATGGGATTTTGATAAATCTTCACACATGCAAGGAACAAAATGATTATCTTATCTGTTCTGTTTATCTTTTCTGTTGGAGATAGAGCACTTCATGAGCCTTTAGCTTCATGCCCATAAACTAAATTAAAACCAACAGCTGGCATTTTCCAGAGTGCGTTCTAACCCTTTTCCAAGTAAATATGTTAAAACAAAACAAAACAAACTTCCCAAGGAAAGGTAACCTACACCTCACATTCTAGATTCTCTGAATGCAGTGACTTCCCAGAGAATGTATTCTTCATAGTCTTCTGACATTCCCCACCATAAAATACAGCTGTTGTGCAGGGACTTTTTTGAGGACTAACTTGGGAGTCTATGTTTACAGGAGGTTCATTTCCAAGGAATAACTCTTAAATGCTTTATAGAATCCTGCCTAATTACCTTTTTTTTTCCCCTAAATAAACTTTTATTCTGACAGTAAAGATGGCTGGTCAGGTACACACAGGGATGTATATACCAGGAGCTTTATACTTCTTGCTATAAATTCCCCTAGAATACACAAAGATAGTAGCAAACAAAGTTTTAGTCTCTTTGAGTTTATTTCAAAACACAGCAATTTCCTTAAAGGAGCTAAGTGCTGCGTATTATTCTGCGCCCTGCCTCTGTGAATGTTATGCATCAGAGAACAGTGACAAGGCTGAGGGCTGAACAGACTGCTGTCAACAGAGGACAGCTGCCATTGTACTCACCTGGACTGCAATCTGGGTGCCGTTGGATGTTGCCACTAAGGTCAAAGGTCTGGTTTCTGTGGTTACTAAGTGATGGCTATGCTGTTGGTGCCCCATTTCTGATGATGCAGTGTGGAATGCTGCCAAGTCCTGAGCCACAATTGCAACCTTAAAAAACACACAGAAGAATTAAAACTATGATTTAAATAGGTTAAAATCCATTTAATGCAAGGGACTGTCTTCAAATTCAAAAGCTAATCCTCCCTTCTGACCATAGACTTGTAGAAGCTGAAAGCGACCTTACATACTGTCTATTCTGAACTCCTCTTTTTTTCCTCTCTTTTTTGTTTTGACTACACCACCCAGACTGTGGGACTTTAGTTCCCCTATGAGGGAGTGAACCTGGGACCTCAACAATGAGAGCAGAGTCCTAACTACTGGACCGCCAGGGAATTCCCATCGACCCCTCTTTGTTGAGCAAGTTGACACTCAGAAAGAAGGGACTTATCTAAAGTTAAGAAGCAAGCAGATAGCAAAACAGGATAGAGGACACTGAGAAAGTGGATTCGCTGTCAGGTTCCATTAAACAGAAGAGACGTGACTGTGCCTAGATTCTAATATCCCTAAGCAGCTGCCTGGGAAGTTACACACGTGGATTAATTTATACCTCAAATGTCTATTTATTTTATTTTTTTCAAATGTTTATTTATTCCTGAGTTTGGATCAGTGGTAGATACATTATTTTCTCCTGTTTATCTGTTGCACTAAAACTTAGATTTCCATTAACCAAAAAGGACCTACTATATAACACAGAGAACTCTGCTCAATGTTATGTGGCAGACCGGATGGGAGGGGAGTTGAGGGGAGAATGGATACATATATAGGTATGGCTGAATCGCTTTGCTGTTCACCTGAAACCATCACAACACTGTTTGTTAATCAGCCATTCCCCAATACAAAATAAAAGGTTTTAAAAAAATTAGATTTCCATTAAATTTTTTTAATTAAACAAAAAAATTAAAAATAAAATAATTTTAAATAATAAAAATATTTTAAAATTAAAAATAAATAAAAATAAAATTAGATTTCCAACGGGAATTCCCTGGTGATCCAGTGGTTAGGACTCACTCTCACTGCCATGGGTCTGGGTTCCAGCCCTGGTCAGGGAATTGAACTAAGATCCCAGGAAGCTGCACAGCATGGCCAAAAAAAAAAAAATGATTTCCATTAATTGGGAAAACAAAGTACCAGGAACATTACTACACAGCATGAGGGGTCTTAGTTTTCCAACCAAGGACTGAACCCATGACTCCTGTAGTGGAAGCGTAGAATCCTAACCACTGGATTACCAGGGGATTAATTCCCAGCAACATATTTTGTCACAGTCACTTCCTCTTTTAGATCCCACAGATTCTTTCCAACCTGTTCCTGAAGTACCTAGTCAGAGTGGTTAAAAGTGCTTTTGTGGCTCTTAAACTACAAATGCAGCTTTTTCTATGTAGATAATAACAGAAAATAGCATCAACTACATGTCATATGATATTTAAGAATTCTGTTCAGCTAAACTTAGAGAAAGAATAGGTTAAAAACTGAAATTACTATTTTACTTGGCCATTAATCTAGTAAGAATGCTAGATTTTAGTGCTAATAGATACTTAGCTTGGATCAATCCCAGTACTGGTCCATAGTCCAGCAACAGATTTTAGTCCAACAACAGGGGAGTAGCTTGTATTAGATTAACCTTTCCTGCAGGTAACAATCATAAAGTGTAGAAAAAATATGAAAAAGCAACCATCTGAAGGCATTGGTGAATGGTGAAAAGCAGGCAGGAAATGGAGGGGATTCTCAAAAGGGAACCACACTGGGTCACATCAGTTTCAACAGTTTTTCCACTTGAGGGCAGTCACCAATCTGAACAGCATAAGGCAATTTATGGTATCAGATAATTAAGTCCAGGGCTGCCAGGATGGCTATTTATTGAAAGGGATATCCTAGAAAGGAGAAAACCAGAGGGAGGGGGACCCCCCCCCAAACCTGTATATAAGTTCCTCTCAATTCTTTAAGACCTCAGAACTGCAAATGTGTTGGGGAGGTGTCAATAAATCTGGAATAAAGCAGCAGCTAGAAGGCTAAAAAGCTGAGAAGAGGATTCAGTGATACTTACCACAGGGCAGACAGAATTTAGAATTTCAACCCCACCAAGTTTATAAGATTACCTCAGGCTTTCCACTGAAACCTTAAGAGCTACACTTTAGGAGTAAAGACTATGTCCCAGGACTAAAGATTCACCCTGAAACCAAATGGCAAAACCAAAACAAACCTACCTTAATAAAGTACAAACCCCAGCCTCCACATGTAACTTAACTACTTGATAAAATTAATATTCTTCAGAGGAAGATAACCAAATTAAAAATCCCCATAATGTATCATCCACAATATCCAGAATACAATAAAAAATTACAACACATGAGAAGAGGAAAATGTAACCCAGAGTCAAGAGAATATGAAGTTAACAGAAACAGACCTTGAGATGACCAATATGTTGTGATTAGCAAACAAGGACTTTAAGACAGTTACTATAAATATGTTAAAAAGCTTATGGAATTCACACAAGGGGAAATCTCAGTAAATAAATGAAAACTATAAAAAAGTAAATTCTACAGTCAAAAATGACAATATCTAAAATTATCTAAATGGGCCTAATAAAAGATGGGTAAAGATGGTGATGTCAAAAGAAAAGGTCAGTGAACTCAAAGACAGAGCAATAAGAATTATCTATCTGAAAAACTAAGAAAAAAAAAAAGAACGCATCCCCAGAAACTTGTGGGAAAACACCAAGTTAATATACATATACTTTAGAGACCCAGAAATAAAACAGAAACAATGATGCAGAATAAAAACTTTTGATGAAATAACAGCCTAACTTTTCCTAAATTTGATAAAAACACTAACACCCTCCTCTACAAAAAACATTACTAATGTTTCATAATATTATATATGTTGTTTTATAATTACATATAAGAAACCTACCAGATAAATACAAAGAAGACCACACCATAATTACATTGCTAAAAAGCAAATATAATTAGTAGAAAATAGTCAGAGGAAAAACTGGTGTATCATATACAGGGGAGCAATCATATGAAGATGGCTGATTTCTCATCAGAAACAATGAAGGACAGAGACAATTTAAAGTGCTGAAAGAAAAAAAAAACCCGCCAATTCTATATCTAGCAAAAATATCCTTCAAGACAAAAATATGTTTCAAACAGAAAGGTGACATAACATGTTTTCAAATAAGCAAAACCAGATTATTTGTCACTGTAGATCTGCAGGACAAACAATGCTAAAGCATATCCCTCAGGGGACTTTCCTGCTGGCCCAGAGATAAGGGTTCTGCCTTGCAAAGCAGGGGACACAGGTCTGGTCTCTGGTTGGGGAACTAAGATCCCACATGTTGCAGAGCAACTAAGCCCATGTGCCGCAGCTACTGAGCCCACATGCTACAACTACTGAAGCCTGCTCACTCTGGAGCCTGCACCACAACCAAAGGGTCCATGCACCACATGGAAAGATCCTGTGTGCCACAACTAAGACCCGACACAGCCAAAATGAATTAATTAATTTAAAAAACAAAATATATCCTTCAGCCCAAACGGATGTCATATGGACACTCAAATCTACAGAAAGGCATAAGAGGCAATGGAAATTATAAACCAGCAGATAAGTATAAAATATTATGCTTCCCATCATCTTGTAACTTAAAAGATTAACTGCTTATGCTAAAAAATAATATTGCACTGCGGGGGTTTTAATATCTGTAAATATAAAATAAATCACAGCAGCACAAAGAGTAGGGGCATAAATGAAAACATTCTGTTTCAAGGTTTTATGTAAAGTAACAATCTTCAGTCTTAAATAGACCACAATAACTTAAGGATGCACATTTTAATCCTTGGGGCAACCTCAAAAAAGTAACAGAGAAGGGTATAATTATGAAGTCATTTGAGGAATTAAAATGAAATATGTACACACCTAATAACAGCATTTCAAAAACCTGGAAGTAAAAAAAGAAACAACTAAAAGGGAGACAAATCCACAATCATAATTGGAGATATCAAATTACTTTTTCTTAGTAACTGATAGAACAAATATATAAAAGATTAATAAGGTTACAGAATATTTGAACAACACTATCAACCACCTTTAAGTGTAACATGCTATACACAAGTGCAGAACACACATTCTTTTCAAATACATATGAAATACAATAGGAAATCAATGAAAGACAAAGGGAAAACAAGTCTCAAATTTCAAAATAATAGTATCTTACAGAATAGGTTCTCTGACCATAACAGACTTAAATTAAAAATCAAGAAAAACAGGTATCTAGAAAAGTACCAGATATTAAGAAATTATCAGGGCTTCCCTGGTGGCTCAGATGGTAAAGAATCAGCCCACAATGTGGGAGACCTAGGTTCAATCCCTGGGTCAGGAAGATCCCCTGGAGAAGGAAATGGCTACCCACTCCAGTATCCTTGCCTGGAGAATCCATGGACAGAGAAGTCCGGCAGGCTACAGTCTAGCGTCGCAGAGTCGAACATGACTGAGCAACTAACATTTTCTCTTTCAAGAAATTAAACAACCTACATGCAAATTAAAACCACAATGATATACCATTTCACATCCACTAGAATGGCTAAACTTTTAAATAGCCAACAACTCTAAATGTTGATGATATGAAACAAACAGAACTATTGTGAGTGGGAGTGTGAGTGGGGTCAAACCACTTTAAAGAACTGCTTGACACTTTCATATAAAGTTAAATATAACTCTATCCTATGACTCAGCAATTCCACTAACAGGTTATTAATCAGAGAATGAGAATATGTGTCTACAAATAAACTTGTACTAGAATTTTTACCACCATCTTAATTCATAATAGAAAAAAAAAAACTGGAAGCATCCCAAATATTTGTTCATCAAGGGGGGAATCTATCAACAAATTGTGATACACTCCTAACCACAGAATACTGCTTAGCAAGAAAAATGAAGGAACTCATGTTATAAACAATAACATGGATAAATCTCCAAAATGTTATGTTAAAGAAAAAAACACAAAACAAGAGAGTTCATACTCTGGCTTCACCATGCAAAATTCAAGAATA